ATCATCTACCCCTTGCACCACACCCTCACCTGCATCCCCAACCCCTAAGACTTGATCTATCTTCCAATGAAAGGAAGAACAACAATAAAAACAGAGCCACTAGACTATGGGTGGAAATGAGAAGCTGTCAGAAGTAGGGGCACCAGAATATTACGTATATGAAAAAGCCAAAGAAAGGGGAAAGCTACTGTAACTGAGACAAAATTTAGCCCTGAGTTCCTTGGCAGCCAACACAACAAGGGAGCTTGCTGAGCCAGTCCTCTGTGATGCCATACATTTCACCAGGAGCGACTCCAGAAGGCCAGGATGACCAGTGACTTGCTCAGCAAGCACGCTTTCCTCGGGCCTTCCCCTGCCCCGAGTCACCTACCTGATAAGATGGATGCAACCGCTGCAATGATGAAGGACACGATGACACCAGGTCCTGCCATTTCCTTGGCCACCAGGCCAGATACCACGTACATACCCGTGCCCACGCAGCTGCCAACACCAAGAGAGATGAGGTCCACGGTGGTGAGCACCTGGGCTAGCTTGGTGCCATGTGCCGTGGTGGCCCCGGTTCCCTCCAGCATGGACTCCACTGGTTTGGTGCGCAGAATCCTGGAGTGCATAGCATACCAGGCAGCCCCCCACTGCACCCGCCGGGGGTCCAGGGAAGTGAGGAGGCCACTCATCTTGAGTGATAGGGTGGCGTTGAAGTTCAGCTGATGGAAGCGCTCTATAGAAGTCTTAGTAGGTAGTTCTGGAATTCATCTAATGAACAGGGTTCTGTCTTTTAGGAAAGGTCCGGAGGAACCCAACCCAGCCTTCTCCTGGGCATGAACGCCTGTAGGTAAAACACAAGGAAGGAGAGCATGAGACTTAATGGGAAACAAATCATGATCGGGTGGTCACACACCCAAACTAAACTTGCTGCCATTGAGTCAGTGCGGACTCCTAGCGGCCCTATGGGACAGGGGAGGATTGCCCCCTGTGGATTTCCCAGACTGTACCTCTTCAACCAAAAAAGCCAACTCACTGCCATCGAGTCAATTCGGACAAGGGCGGGTCTCTCTTGCCCTATAGGAGTACCATGAGTCATGACATTCTTTACGGAAGTAGAAAGCCCCATCTTTCTCCCAAGGAGCAGCTAGTGGCTTTGAACTGCTGACCTTGCAGTTGGCAGCACAACATGCCACCAATGTGCCACCACAGCTAAGAGACTGAACTGGTAGAGGTCTATCTTATGTGCTTATAATGTGAGAAGGGTATATTCTTAACCTACTGTGCAGCTGAAGATTCCAGCTAGTGCTGATGTGCCCAGGACATTTCTATTACGCGTTGCCCATGAAATCGACGAATGTTATTCATTAACACTGCTTAGCCCTTAACCTGACACTTGTCTGCCTCTAAAGGCTTTGGGAACATTAATGAGGAGAGTCGGTGAAAGGTGGCAGTTTGGTTCAGGGGGTTGGGTGGCCGTCTTCCTGGCTTCGCTTCCTCCCTGATTTGCAGTGTCACCTTGTGCTGTGTTTTGATTCTTGACTCTTTGCTGCGTGGCACTGCTGTGGGACAGTGCCACTGTGCCTGCCAGAGCCACTCACAGCCTACAGTGTCAGCCTTTATTTCCTGTTCAGATTTGTGAGGAAAATGGGCCTCATGTACCGATGAATGCACTTACAGACTTAATGGATATCTATACTGAATTCTAATCAGACTAGCATATACTGATCATCCATTATGTGCCATGAATCATATTCAATGAGGGAATGCCAAGATGCAATCCCTGGCCTCATGGAGCTTCCATTGAGAACTGGAGCTGATAAACCATCAAATCACCGGGTGAGAGAGGTGCTTTTTCTGTCCCCTGGAAAGTTTGTATTTTATTATTTTTCTTATTTCGAAAGCACAGCATGCCAAAAAACAAAACAAACATACAAAAAAACCAAACAGACCATATAAACAGTAAACAAATGTGTGAATAAACAAAATCCTCCCCACTGACTGGGAATCCATAGACACCACACTTGATCTCAGCCCACGTCCTCACAAGCCCTCAAGATCTTAACCAAAGCATTCATTCTTCCATGTGGCTCATTTTCTCAAAAATAGGTAACATTAGGATAAATGAAGAAAAGGTGGAAGTTGTCAAAGATTTTTATCTCGCTTGGATCCACACTCAATGCCTGTGGAAGCAACAGTCAAGAGCCGAAAAGAAACATTGCATCAGGTAAATCTGCTGCACAAGACCTCTTTAGAGCACTGAAAAGCAAGGATGTTACTTTGAAAACTAAGGTGCGCCTTTCCATTGCCCCGTGTGCATGTGAGAGTGGGACACGGAATAAGGAAGACGGAGGAAGAACCCATGCATTTGAACTGCGGTGCTGGAGAGGAATGTTGAAAGCAGCATGGACCGCCGGGAGGATAAACCAATCTGTCTTGGAAGAAGTATGGCCAGGGTGCTCCTTGAAGAAAGGGATGGAGAGACTGTCTTAGGTACTTTGGACATGTGGTGAGGAGAGATCCGTCCTCGGAGGATACAGTGCTTAGTAAAGGGGAGGGATGTGGATCCACACGTTGGCTGCAACAAGGAGCTCGGACTTGGGAACGATTGCGAGGCTGGCACAGGCCTGGGTAGTGTTTCATTTTGTGGTGCATAGGTTTGCTATGGGTTAGAACTGATTAGCTGGTACTTAACAACAACAACTGGTGATTCCTAATTAAAGCCTGATGTATATACTTTAGACCCTTTTCTATAGATGCAAGGGGGCTTCAAAAAGTTTGTGGAAAAGTTCATTAACTTTCAAGACCATTTTTCCACAATTTTTGGGAAGCGTTATCCTATGTCTGCATTCCCCAGCATGTGTAGTGAAACCTGTGAGAGTCAGTACTTGGTGGGACTGCCTTGTGTTGCCCGCTCCAGTGGAAAATATTTGAGTTTTCCTTCTCTGACAGGTTTCCACGTTACACACATTGGGGCTTTTTTGGACGTACTGTATTTAAAGATGGGATTATGCCTTGGACTCGGATCTGAAACTTCTTCAGTTTGCTTAAGAATATATTTGAATCTTTTAAATGTATCTCATTAAACTCTACTTCATATAGTATCCACTGACTACATTTAAAATAACTGAGTAGCCACTTCTGCCTTGTGGCTTCAGTTGTTAGCACAGCATCAGCTTGTGGCTTTAGATTTAGTTCATTTGTTCGTTCATCATTGCATTGTTCAAGAAAAACGTGCACACCCTCGTCTCTGGGCCAGCCCAGCCTTCGGCAGGGGATGCTGCAGGGACTGAGATGTCCGGGCCCTGCTTGCACTGGGCTGACACTCGGGTGAGGAAAGCCAATCCAACAGGTCAGCAAATGAAGCCAAATCACCCAAGAGAGACAAGGGGAAGAAAAAGTGGGGCGAACCTCTGAGGACATGGGTTGATGCCTCTGTGAGTGGAAGGAGCCTGTCATGCCAGCTGTGGGGGCAGAGTGTTTCTGGCTGGGGTCCCCGTGGGGACAATCACTGAGGTCTGTTCCGAGAAAGGGGCATGGCTGTTGCCCGCGGGGAGGAGGGCTTGGGTGCTCTGCTAGGGTGTTATCTGTATCCCTTAATTGATTCTTCACAACAAATCGGTTTTTACCGAGGAGGCCACGGAGGCCTGCAGGAGTGTGTGAGTCTAGGTACTTTGGAGAAACAAATCCACAGAAACTCATGTATAAGAGAGAGTTTTATATAAAGGTTAAGTGCGCATCAAGAAAACATCCCAATCCAGTGCTGCCCAAGCCCACAAGTCCAACATTAACCCATATGTCTGACGCCAATCCACAAAGTCCTCCTCCATCTCACAAAACACACGCAATGATGCCGACTGCAGGAGGAAAGCTGAGTCAGTGGGTGTGTAAGCATCTCAGCGCTGGCAGGGGTCTCCACGTGGCTGCTCCAGCACCCAGGGCTGCATCGGGGTAGGTCCATGTGGCTTCTCCTCAGGGATGTCTTGCAGGAAGTAAGCCTTGCCAGCTCAAGCAGGGAATTGGCTAAGGCAGCTGCACCCTGGTCCGACCATCATCACAAAGCAAGAGACCCGAGAACTAGAAAGGCGAGGCTCACTGAGCCATTTATTCCTCTGCCCTTCAATCAACTCCCCATGTGTTTATGGGCCAGGTTGGCACAATGAACTAACTACCTCAAGGAGTGAGGGGACCTGCCAGAGCTTGAGCCTTGACTCTGGACCTGCTTGATGTGCCCTTGGTTTGGACTGCAGGGAGGCCCATTCGCCAAGAGAGGGGGTTGAGAAGCGTGAGGGGGTCATGATTCAGGGGAGAGAGTTGATGTTAAAGCCCCTTCCAGCCACTGTGCAGTGTTTGGCTGGAGCCTCAGCACACCCCAGGATTGCATTAAGTGAGTCCTTGAATGGCGGTCTGAGGTAAGAGGAGGTGTGGACTTGTGGCCGAGGGAGGCTGACATGGAAACTTTGGGATTCCGCAGCTGGCTAGTGCCTGCACACCACGGGGCTGCATTCTGGTTTGAAGCTGTCCTGGGGTCAGGGAGGCGCTCACAGGCCACTTGAGGTTAGAAACAGAAGGGTGGCCACGCGACAGTGCATGGCGAGGTCAGTGTGGGCCAGCATCCTGTCCACTCTCGGGGGTGGGGGTGGGGTGGGGGGGTGAAAGGGTTTTCTGGGTCTCAGAGTCCCTGGGCCAACACTTCTCCATCTTGGTGACACATTGGAATGACCTGAGAGCTTTTGACAACACTGATGACCGGAGCCCACCTCAGCAGTTCTGATCTCACTGCTCGGGGGCTTGGCCTGGACACAGGGATGTAGGAAAACTCCCTGGAAGATTCTGGTGCACAGTGGAACGGCCAAGGACTGCCCTCTGGCCCAGGCACATGACAGGAGGGCTCGAAGTGGAGAGGCAGAAAGGACGCGGAGGAGACAGGTGTGATCTGAGAACGACGCGGAGGAGACGGGCGTGATCTGAGAACGAGGCGGAGGAGACGGGCGTGATCTGAGAACGCAGCCAGCACCATGAGCCTCCTCAACAAGCCCAGCAATGAGATGACCCCGGAGGGCCTGCAGAAGCGAGATGAGGAGTTCAGCGCAAGGTCTCTGTCGCTGCTCGCGGATCTGTCTAGGACAACACCCGGGCGCTCATCAACAGGAAGCTTCTGGGCGGAGTGAAGGCCACCGACAAGCACAGCTGGAACATGGTGCTGGGGCATGTGAAGGAGACGTGCACTGAGGTCCCCAAGAGTGACCAGGGTGAGAAGCCCAAGCCATCAACAGGGACCGCCAACAAGGACCGCTATATCTCCAAGATGTTCCTGACAGGGGGCGGGACCCCACTCATCCCCACCAAGCGGGGCCACAGCACCGCCCTGGGAAGTCCTGTCCTGCGGGTCCAGAAGAAAAAATACTCAGGGTTTTTGTTAAAAAAAAATAAAAGTGAGTGCTAGATGTGGAAAACAGATACCACCATTTCTCGCAGGGCCTACCAAGCTGACAGGAGTTTCCTGTTTTCCTTCTGGGGCAGGTGGGTGGGTTCCTTGACAGCTTTCTTTCGCAGGTCAGGACTCTGGATGCTGCACTGCCTGGAGGCTCCTTCACCAGGAGCCTTGTCTGTTACAAGGACCGGAGATCTGAACCAAGCTCCTCCGGGAAGAGGCAGCTTCCATCTTCCCTCCTGATTCCTGGTGATTCGAAATCACGGTGAAGACTTAGAGACTCAATTAGAACAACATTCGAGTGGCAAGCAAGCCTTCCTGGCTCCATTCCCTTTGCGCACTCCCTGGGACTGCTTGTTGTCTTGCTGCAAACAGGGGCTTGGGGCATTTCCTTTCCTGGTTGGAAAGTTCCTGGCACAGAACAAAACATTCAAAAGAAAACCTGCTTTTAGATGACTATTGACAATATCCATATTCATCACCCCCAGATTATGTTAATCAGGATGGTTTTGGAAGCTCGCTGCTGTTGTGTTTCCAAGATGAGCAATAAGAGTGTGTTGTGCTTTCTCTAGCATGTTCATTCAAGTTTCTCCAAATACTATAACCGAGACCAGCTTAAGGACCTCTGGGAGATGAGCATCCTCACAACGGTGTTTGCTGGCACGCTTGAGGGTTCGATGGGCTCCAAGTGCAATGAGGGTAAGAGCAGGCTGGTTGAAAGATGAAGCTAGTTATGGTTGAGAAGTTTCACTTGAATAGGTAGGCTTAGCGAATGAGGTTAGAGCCTGCTTTTGGAGGCCGAGAGAGGAGGAAAGTAAAGGCCCCAACAGTACTCCACCCACACTGGTTCCTGTCCTGCAAATACATGAGGGGATTACAGAAATCCTTTCGTGACCTTCGCCATGGACAGCTGTGCTGGCAGACTGCTGGTTGGCAGCTAGTATGGTAGTAAAATTCTTCTAATCAATGCTCCAACCCTAACAGTCTGTGGGTGGAAAAAAGAGTTTACAGTTAAAGTGAAAGTCGTCTGATTTGATGGCCTGTCTGAGACTCCAGGATCGGAGTGCTCCTTCGGAGGGGCCCTCCACACTTCTGGGTCCCTGCCCTGCACCAACCCTCCTCTCCAGCAGCCCCACTGCTTCGCAGACTCTAGGAGGGGCTCTTGGCCAAGAACACAACTCAAGGGCCAAACTCCTGGGTTCAAATCCTGACTCCACCCCTTGCTAGCTATGTGACCTTGGGTGATGCCTCTCGATACCTCCATCTTGCCTTCTGTAAAACACAGTAGCAAGGGAAGCTACGACACAGGGTGGTTGTGAGGATTGAAGGGTTAATACCGATGAGTTTTTAGCACCATGCCTGGCACCCCGTGAGTGCTATGTTAGTGCTAACCAGGTCTTTGTCCCCTACTGATGATGCCTCCCATCACCACCTCTACCTTCCTGGGCACCTCTCAGGGAGCCCCCGAGGGCTGCTGCCCAGTTTATAGCAATGAGATGCCTCTGCTAAAACCCTGCCGGGCTTCTTATTGCTGAATATTGTGTACCTTGGTCCTCTTCCTCTCATGTGTAATTGCTTCTTTTCTCTCGTGCAGAGAATGGCTCTCTTCTTCTCGGCGTTTCATTATCTGAAGGGGCCTCCAGCACATTTGATTCCCTTACACCCCGACTTCCCTCCTCAAGATGCATTCACAATGCGGAGTGGCTAGACCTTGATGGATTACTGAAGGCAACACCCCACACCTGAAAACACGAAGCCCTCCTGTCCTTTACATCCATGACTTCCTGTGGCTCACTCAGGCAAGTCATTTATGGCCAGTTCTCTCCTGAGGGCCTTGCTTTTGCGTCTCTTCGATTCCTTCTAAGCTTGTCAGGATGGCTGTATGTTTGCACCCCATCTACAGGTGCCCCACCTCAGTTACTATGCTTTTATGGGGGGGGGGGCAGATACAAGTCAGATAGAGCATCTGCTCATCCAGAACCAAGATTTCTCGACAATGTTCCCTTGTCACCAGCTTGGCTTACTGTGGCTATACAGATTACAGCTAATCTGTTTACAGCATAAATCTTCACTTTTGAAAGTAACTCATTTGGAAGGTAATCTCTCTTGAGTTTTATCTTCCCTGGACTAAACACCTTCAATTTCTTCAGTGATCAGCAGTGTCTCACATGTTACAGCTTCCAGATCAATCACATTCTGAATGTATGTACCTCCTGGGCAGCCTGCAGTTCATCATGGCTGATGTGGTTTTTTGGACCATGACAGAGTGGTAGAAGACTCAAGCCCTTTGTATGTGTGTGCATATGTGTGTATCCTAAATCATACATTACTGGTGCTCGACAAATTCACGAAGACACACAATTGTCTATAAAACCTGGGTTACCGATTTATGGATTGTTAATCTTTCCACTGATGCCATTGCAAAGTGTTTGGTTGACCAAATTTACTTCCAACTAGTTTTCGATCACCTACCCTATTACATCAAAAGTGCTAGTGCATTTGTATTGTATCTTAGATACAGTTAGCTTTTTATTTTGCCTAATACGTCTTTAAAAGGGACTTGGGATCTATCACAACTATCAAGAAAAGAGGTTGTAGTGATTGGGCTTCCTTTCCAAAATTAGCTATTTCTTTTTCTGCTTGGAAAAAGTTATTGAATGTTATCAATCAGCCTGTGGTGAGGTAACAAACAACCTCAAATTTCGGTATCTCACAACAGTAACGCTTGTCTCTGGCTGCGGCACTTTTCCAGGGTGTGGGCTTGCCTGGGTCTCCTTTTTCCCTCTGGACTGTCAGTCTGTCTGCTCGGCCTGCCTTCTCTCTTTGGGATTAAGGTTGAAGAAGCGGTCTTTCTCTGACATAAGCTTTGCTCTGGGCATAGTCCAAGAACAAGGGAGTACCGAAATTTGAAATAACTCTTCAGCACCTATTGAAACTGGTAGTTCCCTCTACTTTACACTGGCTCTAGTAAGTCATGTGACCAAAGCCAAAGGCGTGTATGTACACTCCTCCGACAGGAAGTAGGGAGGTCACCTGGCATAGGAGGTAGGGAGGTAGGGAGGTCAGTCACTTGGCATAGAAGGCCACCTGGTATAGGTCACCTGGTGGTAGGCATACTCTTCTTACAAAGGAGAATATGAGTAGCTGTGATGATAACGTAATTGATCTTAGTGAATCCCTACTATGAAGCAACACAGTGGTGCTTTTCTTTTGAGATTGTTTTCTCTTGAATGAGCAGAAGTGTGTACACCTGAGGTGTAAGCTTAAAAAGATTTTGATGAATCAGTTCTTGCGCTCCCACAATTACTTCATGAAAGCCATACGTACTGTTGTATTGTAATCCCCGATATTGATCCAGAACTCATTAGGCAAAGCAAAACAATGCAAAATCGGCTTAATTTGGTTTGTTTGGAAACAAACAAATCTTTCTTTCTTCTACTTTTATTAATTCCTACAAGGATAACTAGGAGCCCTGGTGAGGTGTTGGTTACACATTGAATTGCTAACTGCAGGACCAGTAGTTTGAAACCACCGGCCACTCTAAGATAGAAAGACGGGCCTTTCTACTCCCATAAAGAGTTGCAGTCTCAGAAACCCACAGGGGCAGTGCTACCCTGTTCTCTAGGGTCACTATGAGTTGGCATCAACTCAATGGCAGTAAGTAGAGTAGTCTAAGAATACCTGCTATTGGTTGAGTGGGAATACTACTACTTTGGGAAAAAAGTGCTGCTGTCAACAGTCCAGGGATGGAGAATGTGACTTGTGTACATATTCAGCAGAAAGTCATGCAAACATTCTCAAGAGAATGTCTGGCATCCACGTAGTGGGAGGCACGAGGGGTGGGGATGTGCTGTGGTCATGGCTCATTCGGAGATCATCTTGCGCAGCATGGAGACATGGCCGGCCCCTCTCTTCTAGGGTCCCCATCAAGGGAGATATCACTGCTCAGCCTCACCTCCACCCTTTGCTCCTACAAGTCCCAGGCCTGGGCCCTCAGGTCTCTCTGCTCTTGGGCTGTGTGCCCTGCACTGTGCATATTGTAACCTATGCAAAACCAGAACCCATTGAAATGAAAATAGAAGAAAACCGAACTGAACCATCCCACTGCCTGCCCCATGGAGACTTCACTGAGATATCCTTCTTTTTGAAGGGACAAATGATAGCATAAAATCAGTTAGCTTCTAAAGTAATCCCTAGAAAAGTAGTTAGTGAGTTTTTACTGCGTGGTTCACTCCATGGTGGCCACTACGACCTAAAGAAATGACTCATCAGACACAGACTCTCAGGATCTAGGCAAGATGCAGCGTCAAGGGGCTCAGGGGTCTGCTGTTTACCCTCCCAGCTTCTCTCCTCCTGAGTCTACTGGCTGTGCCCGGGGGAGCTGACACGCGTGAAGTCCACTGAACGCTTCGGTGACCCCTGCGGGGCTGCCCAACGGGAGGGTGGAGGAGTGTGAGGCGGGGGTTATCCCCAGCCTGCCTTCGGCTGGGTCTCTGTGAGTTGGCCATGTCCATCCCCAAGAGACCATAACTCCTCCCAAGAAGCACTCTAAACCCAACTGTCTTCAAGAGATCTGACAACTTTTCCCTCCTTTGTCCTTTCAGGCATAGGGTGGTGCCCCTATCTCTAGAGTCCAGAACCGTACTTGGCCTTGTGATTTCTCGACACGCTGTCCATATCTTTGTATCTAGTTCTCTTCATTAAACTCTTCTCCGAGCACCAGCTTTGAGAAAGTACAGGATGAGCAAAAACCTCAATGAGCGGGTTGACAGGAGCTGCCCCGTGGGCCCATCCAGCAATGGTGAGAATGGCTGTCACAGGCACTGTGTTGTTTTGTTACGCACACAGCTGTCTGGGGTTGGCGCTGTGTCCACTAGCAGCTGTAACGGATTGTCCCCTGATTGGACTTTGACTGCTGCATGGTTAGACCCTGGGTCTGGGTGGGATTCAAGACCATCAAGCACAGACGGCGTCTCTAGACACCACTGGCTGTGGAGTCAAATCACTGAGGT